ACTCCAAGTTATAACCAGTGCATCTTAAGTTCAATTCATTGACAATTGTTTAGGAATATAAGTTGAATTAGGTGGGCATGGTTAAGAAGTAGGAAACATTGAGTGAACCTTATCTGCAGGTCAGAACTGAGGAGAGTAGATTTACCTCTTATGATAATAGCAGGATAATCGCCAATCCTCATGGTGTACTACTGTCTACGTGCGAGAATATGAGTTTAATTTGCAATTATTACAGAAAGGATAAGGCTTTAGTTTATAACTGTACGGTACACCATATTATAAATAAGAAAAAGAAAGAGCTGCGTGAACGTTGTGTATAGCGAGAGCCAGGGCTACGTACGGGAGTATGTGATTACGATATTCTTACGTATACTGTATATCATGGGGAAAGACATTCAGCCAGAGCAAATTTGTGGGAAGAGAGCGCGCTTACTTCAGCAAGGCACGAGCGCAACGTGATGAGTCCAGTCACTTGCACGTCTCACGGTCGATATTGGAAGAAACACGGAATTCTCATAGGGAATATTGTACACTTCTTCCCTGCTCACGTCAGCGTCGGCTATCGTCACACAGTCGTGAGAAAATGAACGGTGCGGAAGCACGAACCTGTGGTGGTTGTGTGTGAACAACTAAACATTGAAGAAATAGCACGAAACTCCGTCTATTGAACCATTTATATTTAATCTTTAACGACCATATAAACGAGTGGATTGCGTCCACGACGAAGGCTTAGTATCAAAATGGGCAAGAAGAAAACGCTTTGATCAAGCAACTGGTAGTCTGGCTGTGATCGCAGCTAATTAATTACTTTCGATCCGCTCATTTTTAGTTTATATATTAAAAAACTCGATCGATGTGGGTCACTGCATTCACTTGAACACTGACGTGTTAAAATCCTCGTTTAAAAAGCCACCAAATATTCTAGTCGCAGAAGATATTCTTCGTTATTTCCAAACGCATGAACAAATTCGAATTTGTTATTTTAACGAATCCACATGAATGTAGGCTTACTGCAGATCTCTGTATGAACAATATACTACTCAATGAAGAACTGAATCAGGTTCAAGGAACATAGATTTGTTCTCCTGCAGGGTAATGCCACGTGTAATAAGTTTCTAGCCAATATCGAGGTTTTCCCACACTGCAATACAGTGCCAGCTCAATTTATGACCAGGCACGCGTGTTAGCTTACCTATTCGCCAAGTCGCTCTTATTACAACAACACGTTAGTGAAGACACATTATAATCTTGAACTTGTTATGGCCATTCTGCTTTCTGTTAAGCCATGCTACGAAAATTATAAAAACACAAGTGAGCATGCATGGCACGTGTGGTGGCACAGCAGACTTAATTAAGCTTCGTACAAAAAGAAAAGCCTTTTCCTACATATACACGTGATATACGGTACCTTGCAAGAAATAGAGGGATTAGTGAACCACTATCAATGTTATAGGATGCATCATATAAGTGATAACGTGACAAGCCATTGTTCAACGTAAAGCAACTCACAGGCACGAACTCATTCGTATAAAAACGTGAAAATTTAAAGAAGAAGAAGTTGTTGAACGGATCTTCATCTTGAAGGCAGGTTAAAAATGAAAATGCAGGTGGCGATCAAAAAGTAAGTAAGCCGATGTACGTCCTCGCACATAACTTAAAGTTGAGTATAGATGTCAAGGAAATATTAGTTAGCTGAGGAAAATAAAAAATCAATTCCCAATGCGTCATGCGAAACCTTTTTCCAATGAAAACCTATTCCAATAAAACAATTCTCAAAAAACTGGATTCCTGAACTCGTTGATAGGTACGTCTATACAGTAGTAGCCAATAGTGCTGTAAAGGCTGCTCCGGCACGCCTGTGTTCTTAACGACTCCTTATAACGTATCAGAAGACTTTGATTCCATGAACAAGAATTTAGAATTCGTGTCGTCGCTCATCCTAAGGACAAAATGCAGCACAAAAAAATTCAAGGACCATTAATCATTGATGCCCAAACAGCACTATGACGTACTCATGCCCATTGTAACGTGGTTACGACCAGTAAACAGGTATGACCATAAGGCCGCCAGCCTGACACGCTGTCGGCGATAATGAGCCATATTAGAGGGCGATGCACTTCCGGCGTGTAATTACCATAGGCAAATGCGGAGCACCACAATGGCCTGGTCCGTCGACCTCCGTGCTAACACGTTCGCAGCGTGCAGCGAGCAAGCTTGTGAGTGGCGTCGACACACAACGACAATCTGACGTAGAAAAAACCTTGATAAAACGTTGTTTAAATGAAAGTAACTCGTAATCAACGCTATTCCGATGAAATAAACTCGTAATCGACGTTGCAGCAACATAATCAACAACGAAGTTAACTCGTAATCGTTGTTTCAACGAAATCTACTCGTAATAAACGTTGTTTGAACGTCATTTGCCTACAAGGCATCTACACGAGCCCAGCGAGAACACATTTAATTGCAGCCACAGCGCGGCAGGGTTTGGGTCGATGGAAACGACATGCTTAGCGCTGCACGGTCGATGGCAACGATACACACGCTACATTGGACGGCCATATTGGGAATGCAGGATGCAGCGTGTGATGCAGTTTACGATCCATTCCGTAAATAGAAAAGTCGGAATTTAAGGAATCCCACTAGTCGTGAATAACAACAGTCATTCAGAACGCAACGTGATAGATGGCTTCCGTTCTTACAAAAATATTTAACGAACACAAGAATCGCAAAGGTGAATTACTGAACAACAAATTATTCTAGCATATTTATAGAAGGTCACTTAATAGGTTTCGCTATTAGACATCTAAAAAATAATAATCAAATGCCTGAAATAGACATTCTCACGGATAACGCAATTTTTTTAGCAGGCTCAAGAACACCGGTGCTCATGAGAGTTGCATACAGGTACGACCCACCAATATCCTGTTTTTCGTCCCATGGGAAATTAATTCAACACTGCCAGCAAATATCGCGGTAATGATGATCGCGGCAACACCGTGCATGTACTCCGCGCAGCACGCGCGGCGATATATAACCAACACCGCCATCAAAAATTCGGTCTGAGGCTTCTTCTCGCGGGACGCATAATCGATAGAAGCGTTCGAGGCGTCGAGGGTTTCTTTTAGTACGCGAATAAAGAGTAGCCTGCCTCTACACCGGTCGCCTTAGAATCGAATTAGGACCTAAGCTGTGATTGATACTACCTGATATTAAATTAAAAAAATTTGACAAAGTAATACGAGAATAATGTGGCAGGCCAAAAAAGTATTACATTTTGAATATTATCTAATTGAAGCAGGCTTACTCGAAATTAAACATCTACACAGTAAACAATCTTGTTATTGAATCATATTATGTAAATATCAGCCGTTACTCTCGGTTACCTGATCACGGAAAATGGTATATATTAGAGAAGATAGTCCAAAATAATGATATACTTGTTGCTGCACGATATCGTGCTGCGGTTAAGAGATCATTAGCTCCCCTGAGACTACTTGTAGTAGTAGTAGTAGTAGTAAAAGATTTACTAGCGCTTCAGATAGCTATCTATTTCGCGCCGGAGGTGAGGTCTTCAGCTACGTCAAAGATGTTTGGTCTCTTCCGTCTTCAAGGCTTATAGCCTGATCCATTTTAGGCGCAGGGGCTGGGCGGTAGATTCCCTGTTCATGGAGCGAGGGTCCGCTCCGACTTCATATATCAACTCCAGCGTAAGTTTAGTGAGGCTTGGTCTAGGTGATGGCAAGGTGCGATTATAGTCTCGCTAAAGGCGGTGGTGCAAGTGCATATGACCGACCGGCAGTCAAGGCGATGGGGCGATAGCTGGATGTCTCTGTTGGTGGTTTATTGGGTTTGAGGAAGGCCATGACAGTAGCGGTACGCCATTGCGTAGGAAATGAGTGGGAAGTCCAGATTTTATTGTATAAGGCCAGGAGGGCCGTAACTGCAGTCGGGTGCATCTTCTTAAGCATTTTGTAATGAATACCGTCTGGTCCGGGGCTGGTGTTCTTCTTAAAATGAGTTTCATTATGTTAAATTTGAGGCAATGCACTACAAGCTTTTGTCAGTAAAACGTGGTAAAGGGAACAGTGAAAATTCCTGAGACTACTTTCACAATCTACTCACTGTCAAGGAAATCATTTTAGTCAGGACCTTAATTCCTCCCATACGTCCACTTTCAAAATAATTATAGGCGATGACTGCCACGAGGTATACATCTCAAAATTTACGCATTTAATTAGTATAAAACTCTTAATTGATCCGATTTTTACAAACAGAATTGTCGCAATTATATAATCCTCTTGGTATAGGGTGTAACGTGGAATATATAAGTCACACCAGCTATCAAAATCTTACGCAAACAATAAAACCAACCATGGATGACGATCAGGCGACGAAAAACAATGGACTTTCTTTTGTATAAAAAACAGGACAATCTACACAAAAACAGGCAGGGAACCAAAACAATGGAGGGATAGAAAACCTACCAAGAACGAAAGTTGATGACTTGCACGCATTCTTCTTGCCAACCTAGGCAAGCTATGTACCAACAATACCAGCGTCCTGTAAGCCATATCAGTAAATTTCAAATTCTCCAGCACACATTTTGTTCCTCTGCGGATAGACAAGCAAAGCCATCCTGAGCTGAGGCGTGTCGCTAAATATGCCCAGGAGTTCTTAGGGACTTGGTAGAGTTACTTGAGTAAAGAACGCACGCAGAGTGCGTTCCTAGAACGCACGCAGAGTGTGTTATATGGAAATTGGGAACACAATACATTGAAGTGAACTTCAGAAGATGCGAAAGTATAAATATTAATTTGAATATTGAGCTTCGGTGCAGAAAAAAAGGTTTGTTTGGTGCCAAAATAAAGACACAAGCAAAGTTCGATAAAAATAAAGCATTTGTAATTAACACTACTATGTAAATAAGGCTGATAATTATAAATACGTGACACTAGAGTTAGTAAAATTAGCATAAGTAACACTAAAAAGGTACTCACGTAGCTCCTGAGGGATCTCTTCATCTCTATGGATAAGTCGAAGGAAAAGATTTGTGATGAAGTAGAGATGCTCCATGCCTCGTGCGCTAAAATCGTCCATAGACACATACGAGTTGTTGACCGGCGCAGTCGTATAGGGTATTCGCGGCGACACGATGCTCGTTTCATTTCCATTAACCGTGTCATTACCTTCAAGCAACTCATCCTCACTTTCAAACTCTTCATCCGTAACGACATTTAAGTTATTGTTCTTTTTCCTTTCCTTCTTGCGCTTGTGAGTGCGTGTGGACGTTCCATCTGCAGGTTCCCCACTGTCGGGTACAACGTCTAAGAGGTTAGGCTGAACGGCGCTCAATACTGGACCGGTCGAGTCCAGAAGGTCTGTGTCTTGTGTCGTGATGATCGGAGAAAAAGATGGGCCGTCTTCTGACTGGGCAACTGCACTGCACACCAGCAGCAGAGCTGTCGCCCACATCACTGCAACGGTGCACCTGGAACGAACCAAGCATGGCAGGCTTGTAAGTTGTAACAAGTTCGGGCTTATTGCAAGAGTTACAATGCTATAGGTATGTATGTACTATCTTCAATAACACAGGTCACAGCAGAAAACCTAACAAAGGCTAAAAAAATCTTGATCATATAGGAACAATAAAATCTAAATTACACTTTTTTTATTGAAAATCATGGCAAAAATGTACCCATAATATAGTTAAGTATAAATAACAGTTATTTAATTTATGTTCAAATAATGCAGCATCTGATTACTAACAAATAACTTGCTAGGATATCCAAGGTGGAATTCAAGGAGTCATGTTGTATATATATTCAATATCAATCTATTTGATTCAATACAAGAATGTCAGGTGAATCATTATATGTATAAATTATGTCCAAATTCAGAGCTTCAAATCCTATATGGTATAAGTGGTCAAATCCAGTGTATATCATGAGTACTTTATCATACCTATGTATATTCATTGAGTATCAAAATTCCACACTGTCAGGCAAACTATAAGGCAGAAAAATTCTTTATTCATATAATGATCAAATTTTCATATTTGGACAAGGATTGTCAAACATTATTTGTTGCTCTTATAGCTCAAATAAGATAAGTTAGCTCAAGCATTACAAATGAGGATATGATGGTGCTAATCTCCATCCAGTTACAAAACAAATGGTATGAAATTGCAACAACAGATAAAAAGTCAAGCCTAGTTTTTTTTATAGTTCAAGCGCTGTTGCAGAAATTGATTCAAAATATTTTTCTTGTTAGCTGAGGCCTGAGGTGTGATCACTTAAGCAATAAATAATCAAGATAATCATTTACTGATTTACATTTGCCAAAAATAACAGTGACTTCATTTAGGCTTGATATAATTTGCATATACAGTACACATTAATGAAGATACTGATTTAGTTCTGTATAGACATGATAGACACACTTATTGCTTTTTCTATTTTACATTCTAGAGATAAATGTATTCTGTATTTGGTTAGCCTGTAAAATAGTTTAAAGATGGCGGGGTTTGCAACATTGAAAGGAACATATCATTTTATCTCTGTCACCTTCCAAATCTATGTTCTTAATTTCAAATTGAAATGGAGGACTTAAATAGGTTACTTACAAATACCTATTTAAAATTTCATATTAATAAATATACATATGCATTTAACATGCCAACAATTATTGAGATAAACTGTTTAACCTTAAATAAAGTCTTAAAATTTCAACTATAGGTACTTAATATTTAATATTATGAAACAGAATCAAAAGGAAAGTTGAGAAAACAAAATTAATCAATAAATTCTTTGATGGCCATTTGCTTTATAATTCAAAATGGCAAACATGAGACTTTTTTATTGAGCTTTCATACCTACTGAATTCTAATTCTATAAGTTGACTAACATGTATCCTGGATCAGCATGCAGCATTAATCAAGATAGGCCCTATCGAACAAAATCCTAAATTAGATCGGGAAATTTAAATGAACTTGTTTTGAAAAAACTCTCATCATTCATTATGCTCAAAAAATTGATTCGACGCTAGTCACTGAAGAGTTTATTACACCCAACTGGCAGCGGCGGAAGCGAGTCAATAAAAATAATCAAGAGGTGAACTGTGATTTCTGTTCTGTGAAGAACATATATTAATTTGATGTAATCATGTAACTAATAACTCACCCAGTATTTCGAGCCATTGCAGGTTAAATAAAGCAGTATCACAGACTAAAACTACAAAATAAAACACAGCCTGGCTTCACGATCATTTAAGTTCCTTTTACCAAGAAGCCTCAACGAACTTGATTAACCGAAGCCAACGCAACTGACAGAGGAAGAGGTCAGCAACTCAGCTGATCATGGAGACGCCACCGACGCATCCCTTAATAAATTTAATTTAACTCAATAACATAAGAATCAATATAACTCTATCACGCGAAAAGTATAATTTTTTTCACTTGCAATAACAAATACTCAAATTGATGCGCTAAAATCAGAGACTCCACAGTACACAATTCAGACGATGCCAGGCGCACATCCACACTCGATCACTCCGTACGCCAACTGGCTGCACTTGTTTTTCGGGTCTCCAGCTTTGGCATGACCGAACGCCGTTCTCAGCCACTCTGATTATTGGGATTTCGGTAGGAGCCTCAGAGGTCAAGAAAACCTTAATTTAATTAAATTGGTAAACCACTCAACTTATAAGTGTACTTATTTATGAATATTCGAAAATCCGGAAGAAATTATGGAATAAGAACACTCCATTCACTCGGAAGTACGATTATCGCTCTACTCAACACGATTGTCACCCCACTATTTTTTTCAATAATTCGTTGCCCGAGTTCGTTTTCATCTATAGTACGTCAAGTATGCATCACGTAACAGTTTACCAACGTGTTTTCAATTTCATTACACCTTATTCGTTCCAATCGTCGCACGCAGCCTGACGATTAGTTGGAAGCGTCGTGAACGATTACATACGCGCTACAATAAACAACTCGATACCTTCTACATTTTTCATCAAAACCACGAAAGGATAGAATAATTGAATCACTACAGGCAATGAAACAACCATGTATATTATTCCTTATATTAAAGAATCTTCTTCAACGTACAGAATATTTACAAGAGTTAACAGGATGGCTTCAATGAATTTCAATACAGGGGACATAACATCAAAAGTAAATTGTCTTGCAGACAAATTAATCAACCTGAACCCAGATTTTCAACGATCTCATAAAATACGCGGATCTTGGCTTTGATATTTTCTTCTACTGAACGTGATTTACGGGAGTCACGAAAAAACTTGAATGCCATTTCCAGGTAGCAGAGGCCGACACTAATTCCACATCAGAGGTGCTATGAAACTTTGAAGGCTTAGTCTTCCTTTAATTCATGGTAAATAAAATTGTCGATGCAGTCAGATTTCTGAACTCACACAAAAATCCAAATAGTTTCACTTCCGATTCAATGATGCGTTCTAACTTTAGCATCACTTTTTCCAGAACACCGGAAATAAATAAAAAATATCTTTATGAGAAATAGGCGAAACCATTAACATTCGCATTTAATCTTGTGTCAAGTAGAGGCGTCTGACGTACAGAATTGATATAATTGATGGTTGTAAATTTTAACGATCGACTTCGCCGAAGACGATGTCGAGCGTGCCGATGATGGCGACGACGTCAGCGAGCATGTGGTTCTTGGCGACCATGTCCAGCCCAGCCAGGTGGGCGAAGCCTGGCGCCTTGATCTTGCACCTAATGAACACAGCACCCCATTAATACGTAGGAATATATATAAATAATTATAATATAAAATGTATTTATATACCATTTAAGAAGTATAATTTATAGATAATTTATTGATATAGGTAGTATTTATGAAATATAATTTATAGATAATTTATTAATATTGATGTAGATAGTTATTTATATAGAAATCACATAGATTTATAGATTGCATACTACAACACGTGCAAACTAATCAAGAATTAATGAGAACTCTGTAAACTCAAACGTAAAGTTTCCTTCATGAAGGGCTGACAACAAAGGTAAAGTATTCAATGGATTACAAATGAATGAATGGAACCAAGAAATAGGAAAAAAATTCAACGTTACTTTACACTACAGTGAAATTTGATGTGTGAAATGAAAGGCGATACGTACAGCGCATAGGCGGAATAAAACCGAGATTGAGCTTATAAAAAAGTCACAGGCATCAATCAGTCACAACATTAGGCTGAGCTGCAGACAACAGGTGCAACAGGCTGTAAGGCTTGGAGGTCATTAACTAACTTCCGCAGAGATCCTAGGTATGAGGATCTCTACCTAACTTCCACAGAGATCCTAGGTAGAGATCCTTCGGTACGGTCATAAACTAACTTCCGCAGAGATCCTAGTCAACTAAGGATAAAACGACCTCGCGGTCCTCAATACGAAACAAAACAACGTCACAGCAACTTGTGGAAAAGAAGCACGTCGATCAGTGAAGGCAGCGTACCTTTAAAGTCATAACACGCGTCACCTGCAGGGCTTGGCACGTCACCTGCAGGGCTTGGCACGTCACCTGCAGGGCTTGGCACGTCACCTGCAGGGCTTGGCACGTCACCTACAGGGCTTGGCACGTCACCTGCAGGGCTTGACACGTCACCTTTAGGGCTTGGCACGTCACCTGCAGGGCTTGGCACGTCACCTGCAGGGATTGGCACGTCACCTGCAGGGCTTGGCACGTCACCTGCAGGGCTTGGCACGTCACCTGCAGGGCTTGACCCGTCACCTATAGGGCTTGACCCGTCACCTATAGGGCTTGACCCGATGCCTATAGGCCTTGACTCGTCACCTATAGGGCTTGACCCATCACCTTTAGGGCTTGACCAGTCACCTTTAGGGCTTGACCAGTCACCTTTAGGGCTTGACCAGTCACCTTTAGGGCTTAACCAGTCACCTTTAGGGCTTGACCCATCACCTTTAGGGCTTGACCCGTCATTTTTAAGGCTTGACCCGTCACCTTTAGGGCTTGGCACGTCACCTTTAGGGCTTGGCACGTCACCTTTATGGCTTGGCACGTCACCTTTAGGGCTTGACCCATCACCTTTAAGGCTTGGCACGTCACCTTTAGGGCTTGACACGTCACCCTTAGGGCTTGACCCATCACCTTTAGGGCTTGGCACGTCACCTTTAGGGCTTGGCACGTCACCTTTAGGGCTTGGAACGTCACCTTTAGGGCTTGACCCGTCACCTTTAAGGCTTGGCACGTCACCTTTAGGGCTTGACACGTCACCCTTAGGGCTTGACCCATCACCTTTAGGGCTTGGCACGTCACCTCTAGGGCTTGGCACGTCACCTCTAGGGCTTGGCACGTCACCTTTAGGGCTTGGCACGTCACCTTTAGGGCTTGGCACGTCACCTTTAGGGCTTGGCACGTCACCTTTAGGGCTTGGCACGTCACCTCTAGGGCTTGGCACGTCACCTCTAGGACTTGGCATGTCAACTTTAGAGCTTGACCTGTCACCTTTAGGGCTTGGCATGTCACCTTTAGGGCTTGGCATGTCACCTTTAGGGCTTGGCATGTCACCTTTAGGGCTTGACCTGTCACCTTTAGGGCTTGGCATGTCACCTATAGGGCTTGACCCGTCACCTTTAGCGATTAACTCGTCACCTATAGGCCTTGATCAGTCACCTTTAGGGCTTGACACCTCAACTGTACGGCTTGACACGTCACCTTTAGGCTTAGCCAGTCACATTGAGGGCTTGGCATGTTAACTGACCTGTAAGGCTTGGAGGAGCCGTCCGAGACGAGGTACACGCCGAACTCGCCCTTGGGCGCCTCAACAGCGGTGTAGGTAGCGCCGGGCGGCACCTGGAAGCCTTGCGTGAACAGCTTGAAGTGGTGAATCAGCGCCTCCATCGACGACTGCCAAAAAAGATACAAATTACTTAATGATACAGCACGAGTGTAGCTGAGAAATACCAAGAAATATGTACTAATACCACGAGGGAACGGATGTGAAATATCGGATTTCTCGGAAATTGATCGAGGGAACGGATGAGGAAATATGTATCACGAGGGAACGGATGAGAAATATTGTGGAAGTAGAGATTGTACAAATTATAGAAGATATTGCAGGAGAATCAAGACATATCACATGGAATTTCATAGATAGATCACGGGAATGAATAATAAAATAAATAAATATTTAAAAATACACGGGATATAAATCGTACAAATGCACGGGAATGACTGATAAATTTCATTGAATTTTACTGAATAAAGTCGTATCCAGAACCCATTGTTTGTCGTGAAAACTTGACCTGAGGACTGTTTATTCCACAAATGTAAAGCTAGGACGGAGTAGCAAATTTAAAAAATAATTTCTGGAAGTAAAATGTTACTGTTTTCTTCAAAACAGAGAGAAAATTAAAATTTTCGACAATAACTTTAATACTTGTAATCCCTTACCGAGTATTTCAGTACCGGATCTCTCATAAGCAATGAATAAATAATCTCAGTTGTCTAACCTCTCCCTAATCTATGTGGCTTGCAAACTAATTTTAATTGAATAAGGTTTGTAACTTATTGCAGGTTTGGTATGTACCTAGTCGTATAAATTAGGAACTTTAACGCATGGATTTCCTTCAGGATCTGGAAATGGGAAAAAGTATCGGAAAGTTGGCTTTCAAATAGATGGGTTTGAATGAAAATATTGAAAAAATAGAAACGAGAGATAATATTTTTGAGGATGTTACCCCTGTATTTAAGAGAGTTTAAGAAATTAGGATATGCAAGGAAAGCAGCAGCGTTCTGCCTGTTTCTAACCCTCAGCTTGAGTACATATAGACCACGTAATAAAATAGAAATGTCTATTTTCGAAAGTTTCTACCTTCTTTCACTAGTAAACAAAAACCTCGCTGGATTTATATTATGTACAACGAAAGTACATGGATCATTCCATGTACTTTCTGTACTATGACCAGGAATCTTGCGAATCTTCTGTTAATCATGGATAAAAGATTCACAAGCTTCCAGGATATCCTCCATCTAATATCAAACAGCGTTATTGCACTGAGCATCACACTGACCTTCATCTCGGCACGTTTAGGAGGCACGATCTTCGCATCGTCTGTCCGCACTTCACCAGGCGGCATGTTGTTCAGGCATTGTTCTATGATGTTTAGCGACTGCCGCATCTCCTCCAGCCGGATGAGGTATCTGGTTACGTTACAAATTTCGTGTTATAAAGTTCATGTTATATCCCACCAGGCATATAACGTTCAATTAACGTTGATTCGATCCAACAACGTTTAATTCAACGTTGATTCAAAGCTACATGTCTGGAGGGGGGGTATAAAGTTGGGGGTTCTAAAATTGGGGGGGGGGGGCAAAGTATAATGTTAGAAATTTACTTGACATAACGTAAATCATGAGATTTTTTGATAAACAAAGGAAAATCCTTCACAAAATCATTTAACACTTACAAATTATACATGTCAAACGCGCCTCACCTGTCGTAAGTGTCGCCATTCTTGCCAATCGGAACGTCGAACTCGACGAGGCCATAAGCGTCGTAAGGAGCGGCCTTCCTGATGTCCCACTTGATGCCTGAGCCGCGCAGCATCACGCCACTGACAAAGATGAATACAAAATTATCTCCACGTCCATAATAAATAAACTTATCAAGTAATGTTACAAGATAAATTACTTTTACATTGCATTGACGTCAATAATAAATAAACTTATCAAGTAATGTTACAAGATAAATTACTTTTAAATTGCCTTGATGTCCATAACTAATAATCTTGTCAAGTAATGTTACAAGATAAATTATTTATATATCCAATAAACGACAGCGAAGTGATTATACTACAGTGGAAAAAAAATTCGCAACTTCTGGCAGATTCACATCACATGCACAGGGATAACTAGAAAATTAATTCATTAATTGGATTAGACTTTCATGTTCAAATATGTGTACATCTGTTCATTCATCACATTTTATTAATACAAAGTTTATACCAGATTTATACAGGATGCAGAATTGTGATGCAGAAGAGAAGCAACACCGAATTTACAATGATCAGCATAATTTTTTGTTTTGCGTGAGAAAAGTATCAAGAATTTCCAACCCCCCAAAAAACAATGCTTTCTAAACCTTAGTTCATCAACGTAGGTAGTTAATAAGGTGTTACGAAAGTTTAGGTACATGACATGTTTCTCGCGTCCGGAACAGGGGCCATACTTTCAAAACTCGCTAAGTGAACGTAAGTACTTACGCTCCATTTCTTGTCTACAATTGGTGAATTTTGCTTGAAAGGCCGTCAATGATTGGCTGATTAACTTACGATCTCTTAACTTTAAAATTTTTAAAGTATAGGCCCTGGTTCTCATTTTGACCGGCTACTATTGACATGATGCCGTACTATCGAATATAGCTGTGAGTTTGTAACTCAATCAGTAAATCCCTGGCGGATTTTGAAGTTAATCCCATCAATCACACACAATAAATCGGCAACTACGTGTATTTAGGCCGCCACGTGTACCTAGGCCGCCACGCGTACCTAAGCCGCCACGCGTATCTAGGCCGCCACATGTACCTAGACCGCCACATGTACCTAGACCGCCACGCGTACCTAGGCCGCCACGCGTACCTAGGCCGCCACGCCTACCTAGGCCGCCACGCGTATCTAGGCCGCCACATGTACCTAGACTGCCACATGTACCTAGACCGCCACGCGTACCTAGGCCGCCACATGTACCTAGACCACTACGTGCACCTAGGCCGCTACGCCCACACAGCCCGCTCCATGTACTAAAACAAGTTTTGACAGCATGACCCAAGAAGATGTGTCCACCTGAAGCCATAGTTGAGCGCGTCTTCAGCGGACACGATGCCGACGTCCTTGGTTCGCTGCACCCAAATTCTGTTGGAGGTGAGCAGGTCTTCGCACTCGTCCAGACGTTCGCCGAATTTAGAGATGAAGTCGTAAAGGTCGTCCATGATACCAATCGGTAAGTCCTAGGTACAAAATGACTTATGAAATACGAGTATAAAAGATGATATTATTTAAAATATTAAGCAAATAAATGTTTTGTGATTGATAGCACTAGACGGGAACACTAATCTAACTAATCAACTACAGTGGGGGGAAATAAATATTCGTACACTTGAAAAATCGTATTTTAATGTATGTAAGTACACAAACTTAACAGGAAAAGTGATTTAAATTATGTATAGAGACGCATAGTATAAATACTATGCGTCTCTATACATAATTTAAATCACTTTTCCTGTTAAGTTTGTGTACTTACATACATTAAAATACGATTTTTCAAGTGTACGAATATTTATTTCCCCCCACTGTAGCTACCATTCGTGGCCCTCGTAACGTCATACGATTGTGCTGCAGATTGTTGTACGTGCCTCAGGCAAAGTAGAGGTGTTGAGATTGATTTAATAAGTATCTCATTGACAAAAGCTACAAACTATGCATAACGTAAAAATGCACTAGGCCGCACATAGAATATATACATATTCACTCCACACCTGAAAACAGCAACTCTGACCACAACAACATCTAAGTATTAAGTTAATACTAAATACCTTATTACATATCCCCACCTGCTAACACTACATGAATATGCTGAAGATTCATTAAAATGCATTCAAAACTTGTACTCTGTCAAGTAACTCAACAACACAAGTCCACCTATGAAAAACACTGGAAAACAATCTACACTAAGTCACTAACCATAGAATAAATCACTGATGACTTCACCGCAGTCATACTTTCTCGTTAAAAGCATAGAAATAAATAAAGATCAGGCAACACGCTCTGAGGCCATACTATCAACAATAATTACGCGTTCGTAAATCAGCCAGCCAGTCACTGACAGCTTTCCCAATTAAACCCACCAATCACAGACAAGATATCGGTTGTTACGTGTACTTAGTATTAGTAGTAGAATGGAGAGATACAGAGGACTGAAATGTAAGGAATCCTACCTACATAATAACTTAACCCCACAACTGAGACCCGAGCTCAACGGTGGGGCGCTCAGGAACAATCCCCCTAGGAGCACGAAATCCCATAGGACTTCTGACGAGCACAGACACGCGTCAGAAGTCCCATTGAGGGGTTAATTGTACTTAGTCCAATACTTTTCCCTATATAAGTTTTGATAGTACGACCTTTGTCAAAGCTATCCCCGTTCGTTACACATTTCTAGCTAAGTGAGCATGAACTTGGCAGTCCTCAAGAAGCTTAGTACATCGCATCCAATGTAATGCTAGCCAGAGTTGATGGCTGTTTCACGACATGAGCTTAATAATTAAGCATGATCCTCACAACTACTAGTAATTTTAGTTATTGACATGGTTCATACCACATGGCAATCACCCCATGAAATATTTCATTGCATCCAGCCCCTGTTGCAGCAAGTCAACTAAGCTGCTAGGTCTCTAAAGCTAAAGTTTGTCACACAAAATGATTAATTGCCGAAAGCATTCTTCGAATCTATTATATCTTGCACTTCCTCCTTCCTTCCAGGTAAAAACTAAAATCATAATAAATTAAAGACCCGCTTCTCATACACAATCAAATCAAAAAGTTTAAGATACAAATGCATCATTTGATTCTGGTTTCAATCTTCAGTTCTCTTATTGCCTACTGACTAAGTTTTTTAAAGTACTCTAGCACCCCAGCTTGAACATAAAAAACCACGCACCAAAATAAAATTACCTATATATGAATCTAGAAGGATAAGCAGCCAAAATAAGAAATTCCTTACAATTTTCACAAAGAAACTCACGCACCAGAGCCACACCGCCAGGCCTGACGTAAGCAGCGTGCAGGCGGGCGCCTGACACGCGTTCGTAGAACTCCATGAGCTTCTCACGCTCCTCGAAGACGTAGAGGAAGGGCGTGATCGCCCCCACGTCAAGGGCGTGAGCACCCAGGAACATGCAGTGGTTCAGGATACGTGTGATCTCCCCAAACATGGCTGAGTAAACAATATGTTTAGGAATGTTTACAGTGATGACAAGAGAGGTAGGTAGTTTTCCTTATCTAGTTGAGTTCTTATCAGCCATACAGCAAAAAAAAAAAAAGGATCAAATTTCAGGTCTTTTCTATCCCAAGCAATGCTGTAGTGAGCTTGCTATTCTTCTAAAAGTAACAATTTGTCTGAAAATTATGGCAAAGAATGGATACCAATCTGCTACACAATGAGATTGTCAATGTTGTTGACTTTAAATCAGTGAGGAAATGAATTTTAATTGCAACACTAGATTACTTCATGCACATGGATTAAGCAGTGGTAGAAAGAATTAACATAAAAATTAACTATTGTAGTATGTTCTAAATTTCTTACTCCTGATATATTTAGCCCGGAGAGGAGCCTCTATGCCCAGGAGTTTCTCGACCGCTAAGCAATAGGCTTGCTCATTGCACATCATAGAGACATAGTCAAGACGGTCAAAATATGGCAGTGCTTGCAAATATGTTTTGTACTCAATGAGCTTCTCAGTCCCACGGTGCAGCAGCCCAATGTGTGGGTCATTGCGTAGCACTGTCTGGAATACAAATGATTTTAGAATTTTACAGTGCAATGATAGATTTAATCGAAACTCCTAGAAAGATTTCATAAATTTTTTCAAATTTTCGTCTGAGTATATGGAGGTCCTATAATTATTTGAACAAAATTGCATTTTATACTCCAGGAATATCATTAGAAATGAAAACTGTAGTAAATTATATTCATTCTCATCAGAGTGACAAAGAAAAATGTGTTCACCTGAGGTCTGGTGAACCGAGCATCAAACCAACCTCTCCATCAAGCTCCATGACCAGACGCAGCACTCCATGAGCTGCAGGGTGCTGAGGGCCAAAGTTCAGCATCATATTCTGGACTTCCTTCTCTTCAGGCACCAAAATCCCATTGTATGAAGTCATTTTCTTCATTTCTTCTGTCAGCTCCTCATTCTCAGGCCAAAGGAAAGGCACATCATAGTACTTGAAATACTTTTCATCTGGATACCATGACGCTGCATTCCGGCTGCCGTGCATATAAAAAATTAGCATTGAAAAAATAGAGCATGCAATGATAAATTTCAATAAAAAAATAAGGCCTAACATATACAGGGTCATCAATATTTAGCGTTACAACTTTGAGTGGTTAGAACTATGAAATGAAACACAATTGTGAATGTTTGAAAATGTATTTATGTAGGCAGAGGTTCAGAGATACAATTCCCACAATTTCATTCAATATGTCCACCATCTGCATCAATAAAGAGTTGTAGACGCTAAGAGAAAGCCTTACACGAGTCACAAATGACACTCTGCAGGATTTTGGCCCACTCCTTCAGCAGTTTGACCTCTAGGGCGTCCAAACTGCTATGTGAACGGCCGAGACCTTGCTCTCAAGGTATGACCAGATCCCAAAATCCAGAGGATTCAGATCGGGTGACAATTGGGGCCATCCATCTTTGGTAATGAAGTGGGGAACATTCTTGGACAGCCACTCCTAAGTCAATTTGGCCCCATGAAATGGTGCAGAGTCCTGCTGGAACGACCAGCGGCGTTTTTTGAAGTGCTTTTGTGCCCAGGGCAACAATGCATCAACAAGGATGGCATCTCGATAGTTCTTCTGATTGAATTTTACCCCTTTGTCAACAAAAAAGAGGGGACTCCTTGAGGACTCTGTTACGGCTGGCCAGACCATCACTGAGGTCGGGCATTGCTTCCTAGTCACCACACGGGATCCTTCATCCCATTCTTTGACCAAATTTGATCATTTTGGGAGTTGAAGTGGTGTTCAACATTGAATATCTTCTCATCACTGAAAACGAGGTTTGGCAGCGTGCCATCATGAATGTGGGAAAGAAGAATCTTGTATCTTTGGAGGCATTTGTCATTAACTTAAGCAGACAGTTGGTATTTTTTGACATGCTTGAATGGGGACAACTTTAGGTCCTTCCGCAGAACAGTCAACATGGTTCCATATGACGCATTTGACTGTTTTGCAAGTGTATTGATTCTGAAAAAACAATTTACGCTAAATATTGATGACCCTGTGTCTAAAACAAAATTTTTTAGTCTGCCATTTTCTTTTGTTTTCATCTGCACATGTATTTTACACATACCACAGGCCACAGGGTGGCCTAAAATAGGGTTCATTTATTCTCCAATCTTTAATATCAGGAACATTTTCCTAAAAATTTTGGGCATGACAACAATGATCATTTTACATACCGTAAAATGGGGTAACTTAGACCGGCGGGGTAACTTAGACCACTTTTCGTTTTTTTAACAAAAACCTCCACAACTCAAAAACTATTTGACATAGAAAAATTTTGTCAATGGGCATTAAAGGCCTAATACTGAGGCTACCCAGTCTAAGTTACCCCAAGAGCTGGGGTAACAAAGACCATCACTTTTTTTGAAATTACATAAAGACTATGAGAGGCAGGAGCCAGCAATTTATGGTGAGTGAAGCTAGAGTATAGACCTGTATTTTGCATGTTTCAATTCAAGTTTAACTTAGCTAGTAAAAAAATGGCATCATTTATAAAAAAAAGTTGTCTAAGTTACCCCATTTTACGGTATAATTTATAAAAAATGCAAGCCAAAATGGGCATTCACTTTGTTATCTCTGAAAGAAATCAGGCAAGAGCAATAATTTGGCTGAAATTGACCATAAGCATGGGCATTTTTGTATCTCATTCACAAGTGGCTACAGCCCAATTTTCCAGAATGGCATCTCAGCAGCCTGCTAGTCTGCTAGATGGGATTTTTCTACTTATATTTTGCAGCTCCAAATTAAAAATTTTTATATGTATTTAGGATTATGCAGCCAAATTGTATTTTATCAACAATTAAATAGGAGATAATTCATTTAGCAGGAATCTTGTGGCTCCAAAAATGGCAGGAAAGCTCTGGTCAGCTCAAGCCTCGAGGTTGAGCAAGCATGGAAAACATCTAGGTACCTTTGGCTTTAGGGATGCAACAAGAACTTTCCTACCATTTCCAGGACCGTGAGATTTGTGTGAGATGAATTACCTTCTACCTTATTGTTAACAAAAGTACACACTACACAATAACACAATCTGGCTGCAAGATTCCAATTATATAAAAAATTTCATCACATTTGAGCCACGAGATTTCAGAAACAAGTAGAAAAATTCCAATCCTGCGTCAAGCAGTACCTAAATTATAGATACAGGATTGGAATGTTCCAACTTGTTTCTGAAATCTTGCAGCTCCAACATGACAAATTTCTAATTCATTTGTAATCTCACAGCCTGATTGTGCATTTTTGTTTACAGTTAGAATAGATAGGAGGTAATTCATCTGGCAGAAATCTTGTGCTTCCAAAAATGGAGGGAAAGCTCTAGTCAGTAGTCACAGCCCTAAAGATAGACGTTTTCCATGCTTACCTTCCAATACCATCCCACACCAGTCAGCACCCAGCAGGAGCAAAAAAACATCTAATTTGTATCCTAGGACTGAGTTTTCAATGACTAAGACTGTTTTTTATTTGTAATATTTAAAAATTTTCAATATTATGGAAGATGATATTTAAACAACAAGTTTTTGCATCCTGTTTTCTTCTACCTCAAGAATAGCAACACTGCAACAGCCAACAAATCACAAGAAACCCTTTCTTTACTCTTTAGTTAGTCTTTTTTCAGTTTATGGGAAATTAAGCAGGTTATACTTTATACTCAGCAGTACTACAAGTTGAAGAATATATAATTCATACCTAGTCTTCAAAATGAATGTTTCTCACTAGTCACATCTATGATATTTTTTGATGAGATTATTTGAAAAGGATTGATTTAGAAACTAGGTAGGTATACTCTGATCTTATAATCTTCTTTACAAATAACTCAACAATTTTTAGTATGTTTTCGATTTTTCATACCTTCCGGCAAGTATTGTTGGTATAGCAGGTTTTAATGTGGCCTTGAAGTCCCATGCAATCAGTTTATTCACTGTAGAGCGACCTAAATTCCTCAATAAGGTGGCCATTTCGCCGACTAAGCCACTGTATTATTTTGCTCAGCTGTCTTATCTAGGGAAAAATTGTAGGGGAAATTTTTCTTCCCAAATTTTGTTGAAAACGTAAACACTGCAAGACTCTACATTAAAAAATGTGTTATAAATAAATAACTTAATTCCATCGAAGAAGCAAACGAAAGGAAATATTTAAGTAGATTCAATTCACTAATCTCAAACATATATTTTGAATATATAAGACCGGCAGTTCTTTGGTTGAAGGTTTAACAAACCAAATTTTAACATAAATAATGTAAGTTTTGACCGTGTTGAAATTTTCCGACACTTAAAAGTAAGATTGACCGATGGGCTAATATTAAAAATATCATTAGTTGCAGATCCGAAGTCAACCGATTCGACACTTCAGCGAACTCGGGTGCGAACTCGCCTGCGAGCTCGAACTTCATTTTCAACTCTGGCACTCATAACTCCTTCAATTATGAACTAGTCAGCACATAAAAATTGTGATCGATACCGGTGAATGAGCAAAGCGGCTGTTTACACGTAAATTGGATTAGTGAAATACGGGCTCTTGACATATAGCCTAAGTGAAAAATTAACGTTACATGAAATTGGCGATAGATCAGACCTAGGTAGTCTTTTCAACTTCAACGTTTGAGCGGTGCGATATTTCTATGAGTTTGTGAGCGTACCTTTCGGCGATGGCGTATGGCCGGACAAAAGTGCGTAAAGCGTTAGCGGAGGCTACTGCGCGCCATCACGGTGGGCCTCTAGGCATGAACCATTCATTCAATTCGTAAACAATTATTATCATGGTTGAACAACCATAATAATTATAAGTTCATACATGAATTTTTTATGCGCATAGCGCTGAGCGAGAATGACTTTCACAATGCCTCCTCTGACTTTCAATTATAGAATAGAATAGAAGTGTCGGCGTTGAAGAAATAGGCCCATGGCCTGTTGCCGATTCTGTTGCCGATTACAATGGAAGTGTTGGTACTGAAGAAATAGGCCCATGGCGTGTTACCGATTCTTGTACTTTTCGTGACTTGATTCCAAAAGGGATCCGGTCTTTTAAATCCGATCTTTCCATAACTGACGATTGTTTGATATAGCTGCTGGACTTACTGCCAGGTCCGCAAGGTGATAGGCATTTCAAGACTGAGCATATGCTCCTGCATAGCTTTGTCTAGCTCTACCGGTAGTCTATTCTTGATGCCGTTCGTACTCGGAGCATCAACGATGCCCTCAGGCAGGCTGTTCCACATGTCGAAAACTCGAAGCGAGAAGAAATGTTGTCGCATGGATGTGTTGCAACGCAGTTTTTATTTTAAAGCCGTGGCCTCCGGTGTTGGTTCTTGTTTGAAATTCTAGGACTCCTCCTGGGATCTTTTAGAAACCGTGGGTATACTTGTATACTTCGATGAGGTCACCATGCAGACGTCGATAACAGAGGCTTGGAAGCTTCATGATCGTTCTTCATAATGCTTGCCTTTTAATCCCGGAATCATTCTTGTTGCACGTTTTTGAACACCCTCGACTAAATTTTTGTGCTTTTCTAGTTTGGTGACCACACAACGTTTCCAAACTCGAGGTTTGGACGCATGACAGCGACAAACAGCTTCATCGCTTCTGCATCTAGGTACTCGTGTCGTATGAGCGTCTGATCAGTCCAAGTCGTTGAATGGCTTCATGAACTTGAGCTCCAATATGCTTAGAAAATTTAAACTCATTATCGATATAAACTCCTAAATATTTTTTAGTGTCGACTTCGACATAACTCTCTCGTTGCAACCATGTCTTCTCATACAGTCATACTGTAATCTTGCTGTTCATTGTTTTTGCCAAGGTGGATTACTTTGCACTTTTCAGCATTAAAACGCAGCTGCCACTCAGCCCAGTCAACTGACCTGTCAGGCTGTCAATATCACCTTGCAACTGTACTTTTAGCAACTTATTCACTGTATTCACTGTATGCAACTTATTCTTCACTCATAATTACAGAAGGCTATGAATTCGAAATTGCCGATCAATTTGGTTCCCATGGAATGAATATTTTTCTTGCTCAATTAACTATGAAGCGTTGTCGGATATTATGGCTCATATGCTGATCGGAGTTGAATGAACACTTGAAGTTTAAAACTTTACGTTTCAACAAGCATAACCATTAACCCGTCTTTTTTAGTTCTATCCTAACCCGATTTCCGTTTCCTGGCGAAATTTGTTGGGCACGCACGGAGCTTTAGAAGTTTAGCGCATCCGTTGGCGATAGACGCCTAGTTGTGACGGCGCGACTAAGCTTGTATTGTTACATTTCGGCTAGTCATTTTAGGGCTCATTTATAAGTATTTATCACAATCTAATGACCAATTGAATGATGGCGGTTGACCCTGTTCATAAAGAGCTACTGTCACAGTTGATGCTAAAGGAAAGTCAGCATTTTCCACCTAATCCTGAAAATGACTACTGGAAGCTGCAATATCATAAAATATCACAATGCGTGGGACATCCCGGCGCTACGCCAGCCCTGAATCGAACTGTTAAATTCAACCACTGCGGCATGCCTAATACATTCTAATTATTTAACTTATTAGTTAGTATTCAGTATTTTTTAATATAATTTTATTTAGTAGTTGATTTAATAATTATTATCATTATTAATTATTAATAATTAATAATGGGTTGAATTCACCCGTTTTGCAGTCATAACTAAAAAAATAATATATTGCCAAAAAAGAACTCGAAAGCCTTTTAGTACGCTAGCTCGAAGTGCAAGACAAAGGACGGTATTTCTGATTTGAAAGTAGATCAACGAAAGACATCGTCAGATTAGGGCAATGCTAACGTTCTTAATCAGTGGCAGGTTTTTAGTAGCGTATTCACTGACGAGGACAGGAACAGTATTCCAGCTATTGAGGAGCTCCCAGTCGGCTCTAAATTAACAAGTCATAAAATATAAGAAGAAAAGGTTCTCAAGCGCCTGGTCACTCTAAATCCCAACAAGTTATGTGGACCGGACGGCTTACTCAAAGAGTTAGCAACCGTTAGAGTTAGCAAAGGCCCTTTGACGGCCTTTTTTCGAAAAACTTTGAACGAAGGGATCTTGCCGGATGACTTCTTCTTCTTCTTTGCAGAATGTCCACTTGGAGTGGACTTAGAGCCGCAGGTCTGCCAGATGGATGACCGTTGGGCCTGAGAGCTTATTGCTTGTGGTTTTCAGCTTCTTTGTATATGAAATTAATTGCTGCCGTCTTGTGAGGTTGGCTGACATAAGCTCAGTACAGGATTGTGTAGGAGTTTACAGGGTACATATATTAGTAAATGAAATGAGTTACTGCTAATGTAATTTAGATAATAAAGGGCTGCTAATGTAACAACCTTGATTTAAAAAAAAAACTAGATATCACGTAGGGCAAAACTTCACGTTCCAATAAACCCTGAATCGAACACCTTGGATCTCTCCGGACATTCACCAATCAGCCGTGAACCACTCGGCTTTGTCCTCCTCTGGTCTTGCATAGAACCTGCCGTGCACCACCAGGTCGCAGATCGAATATGACTTCCGGGCATTGTTAAATTACGTAATTTTACGTTCACCGCACCTGAGGTTAGATTTCAGATAGCATAGTTCTGTTCCAAAATCTATCGTCTGTCGACGAGTGGCCGTTCGAGTGACGTTCGACCGAGGGCTGGTTCGACGCACGGCCTAGATATGATTGTCCAGAAGTGTTGGAGGCTACGTTCCGGAAGGCAGGAATAATGATGGTCCATTACATCCAGGGCAGTGGTGGTCTTCGGCAGGCGACCCTTCCTCAATCACGCGTTCGGAAGGTTTCGCTTGTTTTCGTATAGTAAGAAGTATCCTGTTTCGCCCTGAATATGTAAGACATGTCAAGTCTCGTTACGTCAAATCTCGTTTTATATGTCTCGTATCGTTCTATACTTACCAGAACACAAGTTCTAATGTCCGGGACATGAGGGGACTAGTCTTGTCCCTGTTTATACGTTTATTCCGGGCCAAATTTTACCCTCTGTCCCGTTATTTTTATCCTGATAAATCCTCGTCACGTCCCGGATGTCACGTTTCATTTATACAAAATTTACCCGAGACAATAGAGTCTAAATAATAATAATAATAATAATAATAACAATAATAATAATAATAATAAAATAATAATAATAATTGGAATAATAATAATGAATGTTTTGAATAATGAATGAATGTTTTCAATAGTGATTAGGCGATGGAATTTTAGAGTCATCCACGACTAATATTCAGTTTGAGGAGAAGAAATCCTACCGATGGCCAGCAATGTTCAATTATTAGCGAGAAAATTATTACTAATGTTATTATTATATTATTGATAAAATTTATGTAAGTAAAGTGTAGAATGCGATGAGTGAGTATAACCTGACAACCATGCGACATTCATCTGAGAAATTTGTTACTGTGAACACCTTATAACCTCCCGCAACGTTTCTCTAAACGCATGTAAATGCATCGACCCATCAAGAGAACTGAAGAATTCGAAAGGCGTTTGTTGCAGTATCATTCGATGTTTGATGAGTAGCGTTTGATAGCAATCTACTACACATTTTTTAGGAATTAATTCCTCTTAAATAAATGGTTGTGTGTTCCAGTTGCAAGAACAGAAGATTGATGTAGAAAAATTAGCACACCTATTTTGCACTAATTAATTTTATTTTAAATTATTCATGAATAAAATTACATTTCATCCCCCGCTTGATTTCGATTAATTTGTTAGCTCCATCAGTGAAGAGATAGTGCTCATGCATACTCTCATTGCACCTGCAATTCCACATGATTTTTGTTTACTAAATTACATTCATTTACAGTTAATTTAAACTTAATATATTAAAGTCAATTGTCAGGCCATTTGAATCTGTTAATTTTCCTTCAAGGACTCAAATTCGGTGCAACATACACGAGACCTGTCAGAGTTTGCACTCACTCGTGAATTTTTCTGTTTTTTTTTCTTACTCAAAATTTTAATTTTGCTGCCATGACTAGACTCATAGAGATATATTATTAGTATATATGGCGTTATTCAC